GATCACCATACTTGGGGTTGGGAAGGAATTTTCCTCCAGGGCAGATTGGCAGAGACCCTGGGGTTTTTTTGCCTTCCTCTGCAGCGTGGGGCACGGGTCACTTGCTGGAGGATTCTCTGCACCTTGAGGTCTTTAAAACACGATTTGAGGACTTCAATAGCTCAGACATAGGTTAGGGGTTTGATACAGGAGTGGGTGGGTGAGATTCTGTGGCCTGCGTTGTGCAGGAGGTCAGACTAGATGATCATAATGGTCCCTTCTGACCTTAAAGTCTATGAGTCTGTCTGTCCGTCTGCTGGGGAGGGGCTGGTTTTGCTGCTCCCCCCTGGAGGAAGTTAACGGACTCCAGAGTGGGAGGAAGGCAGAAAGCCAGGGACCGGGGGTGGTGTTAGGGTTAAGGTTGGACTTGGAGGAGGATGGGGGAGCAGGGAGAGCACCACAGCGTGGGAGGCCCCCAGCCCTGTCCGCCCCTTCATGCACCTGGCCAGGGCATCAGCAGTCACTGGGGTAGCCAGACCAGAGTAGGGAACTGGTCTGGGGGAAGGGCTCCTGGTTAAAGCAGATCCCTGCTCCGACCAGCCTCCATTGATCCCAGCCAGTCAGCTGCAGCGCCTGCCCCACCCAGACACTGACACATCCTGCCCGTCGCAGGGTGAGTGAGCGGGACCCGCACACCCTCCTGGAGAAAGGTCGCCTAGGACAGGAGGCACCCAGCCGCCAGCCGGGCTCTCTGCCAGGGTATATTTATCTGCCCTACCCCCACACGGCAGGCCCAGGGCATTGCTGCAGTTTGTGTCTCGTTTAGGGACAAGGGACTTGGTGTCTAAGAAGGCTCTGGGTGCCAAGCAGCCATGCCTCTGAGTTGGGAATCCTCCCGCACGGGGCGACTGCAGTGTGCCGTGCCCTGCGCCTGGAAACGAGGGAATTGCATGGGACGGACACACCTAGCGCAGCGCGGAGGCAAAGTCCAGGCACCCATGTGCTCTCCTCCCTAGGAGCATGGTGTGATGGAGCAGGGAGCGGGGCGGGGTAATCAGTAATGAGAACCAGCATGAACAACAGACCCACCCCCTCCTCCAGCCCACACCTCTCATCCCCCTTAGGGCCTAGACTCTACCATGCATCGGCCTCACTGAATGCCCAAAACGTCCATCGCTGGGACATCGAGGCACGAAGGGTCTGATTTGCAAAGATGCTCAGTGGCCTTAAGCAACCTGGCCCTCCCCTTGCAGGAGAGAGAGCACAGAAACCCACCCCTCTCCTGGGGGAACCGGAAATGGAAACTGACTAGAGACTGATTCTGAACACTGTGAAACTGACTTGTCTACTTCATAAAACGAGATCACACTGAAAACAGCACAGTCCTGGGGCTCGTCTATCAGCACAAGGCAGGACAGGATTGGGGTTTATTTAACCCTTTGTAGGCATTATACAGCATCATCCCCCTAGCCCAGGGGTGGGCAACCTTTCAGAAGTGGTGTGCCGAGTCTTCATTTATTCACTCTCATTGAAGGTTTCGTGTGCCAGTCATACAGTTTAACGTTTGTAGACGGTC